AGAGCTTTCTCTTTTTTTTTTTTCAAAAATACATCAATTTTTTAAAAAATAACTCTCTCTCTCTCAGTCAGTTTCCTTTTCCTTTCATTTTCTCTACAAATCACCCTTTTTCAACTCAAATTACAATCTCTTTCTCCTCTACCTCTTTCTACGGAGATTATTAAAAGAAACGAAAAATTCAATAACAAAATAACAAAATATAAATTTTTTTTCTTACAAAAATTAAAAAAAATTTAAAATTTAAAACTGCATTCAAATATTATTTAAAGAATTTCTCTCTTTTTCACCAAAAAATATTTTAATATACTACTTTCCTTTATTACTTCTTTTTGAAAATTGAGGTATTATGGTCTAATTACTTGCTAAATCAATAAAAATATAATATTATTATTATTATACAAGTTTGAAAGTTGTTTCATTTCTTTATTGAGTGATTGAAGATGGTATGAATACTTTTTATGATAATTCTAATCGAAATTAGAATTTATATAATTTATTTTGTCAAACAGATTATCAAACAACTTTAACTTAATTTAAAAAATTATTATTTTTTATTAACGTTTCATAATAGCTTTTAAGCTATAAAAAAGTTAGACCAAGCAGATTTTTAGAGTTTTGTTTCTGCATATTTGCCTTAAAATCTGAAATGTCATTAGATTTCCCATGAGATTAATTTTGGCAAGCCTTAGGAAAATAGAAATGTGAGTTTTCTGGTTGCAGGAAAAATGTTCACTATCTGACAAAATAAAGAGAGTTGCTTTACAATAATTGAAAAATCGTTTCCCCACCCCTTCAAAGGGAGAAAATTAAAAACCAGAGAAGGGGTCCCTTAATTATTTGCCGAGTTTATTACAATATATAAAATCAGCACTGAATTCGGTATTCACCTAATAATCAGTAAAATCTGCAGGCTCATTATTATATGAATTAGTAACAAAAAAGCATATTGTTTTCTCCACATCTTATTTTTATTAGTATTTATTTTTACCAACCAGTATTTTATCCTAGTTAATCACAACTTAAATTTTCAAATAATTTTATTCATTTTTTAAGTTTCATTTGTGCGTGTGTGAGTTTTCATCACTCTTCCATGCGGGATTAATGGTAAAACCGTAGGTTAAAAACTATTTTGACTATAAAAAATGAGTAAAATAAAAAAATTCATAGAATAGGAGATCCAGGTTACAAAAGAAATTCTAGTTAGAACTATGAGATTTCCATTGCCATTTGGGCCTTAAAGCGCTCCATATATTAAATTAGTTCAGTAGAGTGGTATTTGGGTCGTAGACGTAAACCATTTTCTGCTTTGGGTTGTAGGCCCAATCGGATCATAGGTGGATGGAGAGGGACGGGAACTGGGCTTGGGTTTCAAGGTTAATTTCGTAACTTCCCTCTCGAAATTCACTTCCCTGGTGATTTAAGGCGGGCTCGAAAAACATTCCCTCTTACAATTCACGCTAAAGAACGGAAATTAAAAGGAAAATAAAATAAAAAACCCCATATATATCTCTCATCCCTGTCTCAAAAACAAACCCAAAATCCAAAAAGCAAGAGGATAGCACAAAACCCTTCTTCTTCCAAAACAAACTAAAACTGAAAAATGGCAGCCTCCTCGGCCATTTTCTCCGCTTTCATCTCCTCCCAAACGGGGCCGTTTTCCGCCAAATCCTCTTCTTCCTCTCTCCGTCTCCCTCTTCCCACTAACGTGCGCATGGGGCGAGCCGTGACTCAAGCTACGGCTTCAAAGCACGCCACCGGTACCCGACGGCCACGTGGTATCATGAAGCCGCAACGTGTGTCGCCTGAGATGCAAGCTGTGGTTGGAGACCCCGAAATTCCCCGCACTCAAGCTCTTAAGCGGATTTGGGCTTACATTAAAGAGCGCAATCTTCAGGTCCATTATCCTTTTTCTCTTTCCCTCTTTTTTTGCTCTTTAAAATAGTATTTTTTTGTTATAAAATGTGTTTCTGTGTACGGATAAGGTAGTGTTTGGTTGGTCGGAATGGGGAAGGGTTTTGATTTTGGATGGATTTTATCTCTATTTCTTCATTTCTTGTTACTGTGAATGTATAATTTGGTTTTCTTGATAAATATTACATAGTGATATGGTGTTCGCATTTGAGGTGTTTTCAGTTTTGTGTTTTGGATAAACTTTTGCTGGTTATATGCTGGGAACTGGGGTTATGTAGATGAGTTTCTCTATTTGAAGTTGCTGAACATTACTATGTGCAATTTCTTTGATTACACTGCGCTGTAGGCTTCGTTGTTATGAGTTATCTGTAATACCAAAGTTGGTTTCTTTCTTAAGAGTATATTATTATTAGTTAGCTAAGGACTTACAGATAGTCCTCTTGGATAAAAGAGAAGCTTTGAATGCTAGAAATCCAATACCTTGACAGGAGTTAATGCTGCTGCCTGACTTTGGGGCATTCATCATAATGACTGTGATGTTATTGTGCTGGAGACCTATTAAAGTTAGGCGACATTTTCTATGTGGTTCTGACTTCTGATTACTACCAAGAAGCCTTCGGGGAAGCTGATGGCTCAAATATCTATTTCTGCGTGAGATATGTTCCATGCATGTATGCTTTGAGAGACATTTGAATTTGTAATCAGGCTGATTCTACTAGATAGCTTTCCAAGTGATGTATATAACTTTGGTTGTGAATGGAAGGTATCATGAACTTTAGCTACCAGGGTTTTGATTTCTTTTTTGTTTGTCCTCTGTTGATGGATGTAGAAATTTCTGTGTACTGATGCTCTGAATTTTTTTATTTAATTGCCAACAACCTAATAACGTTTAACTGACTTGGTTCTTTTCTGGCCATTTCTTTAGGACCCTGAAAACAGGAGGGTTATAATTTGTGATGAGAAGCTGAAGAAGATATTTGGAGGAAAAGATCGGGTTGGATTTCTTGAAGTAGCTGGGTTGATTAGTCCTCACTTTCTTTGATGGATCCCAGAGAGAGTCAGTTTGGAAAAATAGGAAACAACCTCTGTTTATGGGGCCTCTCTCCTTGTTGTGGATACTGGAGAAAACCATGCTTCCTGGCTTCTTCAATTACTGATGTTTTTAGCATTAGTACTTGCGTACAGAAGTACTCTTTTAAGAGTTTTGTTTCTGAATTTCCTAATATGTAGACTGTTATGCAATATTAATAGTGCCTTCTAAGTTTATGCGTGTTATTCAACATGCGAAGATCTTGGAATTTTGCAGTAGCGGTTAACAAATGGTTTCTATTACAAATCAGTACTAAGTTGGTTACCACTTGATTGATCTGGTTTCAAAATAGCTTTAACAATCTTTGGCATTGAGGGAGGAGGGGATATTGTTCATGAACAATGGTAGTCAGCAAGGACTAACGGGACTGGATACCCTTTTTGTATCAGCTTTTTGAAACTCGCTATCATTGCCTATTATAAGATATTTGGTTGTAGTATTTTCCAACACATAGATGGTCCATCGCAACCAAAACGAACTCTAGTAAACTAGCTGGGAGCTTGGAGCACAATCAACTTCCATTGATTACAAATTCATAAATTTATTGAGGTTAAAGGCCGAGGGCGCCAATTTTTGACTAGGTTCACAGCTGACATGGCACGCTTTTATTGGTCATAGAATCTTGTCCGTTCTTAACCACAGGGGAATCGAATCTCCCTCCTCCCAAAATATCCTCTTCTCATATCTTTGTCCCCAGCCTTCTAAACTTAAACAGAGAGAGTGCGGACTGTTTAAGTTTCTTGTTACAATAATAATGAAGAGGACACCAGCTGTTTGCTAAAAATCAACTACTCTTCTCTCTCCCTCTCTCTTTCTCTCTACCTGCTCGACTTGCTAAACCATAGAAACGCTTCAACCTTCTCATAATCTGTCTAAATGGCAGAGAGACTAGCTCTACCTCTACTCCTTCCCAATCCTCCACCTTCAAAACCCCCATTTTTAAACCAAACCCACCACCACCAACAAAATCCAACTTTACTACCCAATTCGCCACCTTCCTCAACTCCAATCCTTCAAGACCTCCTCCTTCGCCATAGCGTCAAGCCCCAACAACCCATCGACCCACAAGCCCGGACCCGGACCCGGACCCGTATCGGCCGCTCACGTGACCTCAACCGTGGGAAGCCCTGGACTCATAACCGTCTCTCTCCTCAGGGTCAGCAGGTTCTCAATTCCTTAATTGACTCTTCTTTTGATTCCAATCAACTTGACAGTGTTTTGGCTAAGTTATTTGAGCAATACCAAGAAAACCCAGATGCAAAAGCAGATTTTTTGACTGCTGAAGTGCTGGGAATTGTTAAAGGTTTAGGTTTTTACAAGAAACATGACTTGGCTTTGGGTGTTTTTAATTGGGTTAAGGGTAGAAAAGACTGTGACTTGGTTTTGAATAATTCCGTTGTTGCTGTTATTATTAGTATGTTAGGAAAAGCAGGGAGGGTATCTGTTGCAGCCAACTTGTTAAATAGCTTGCATAAAGAAGGGTTTAATCTTGATGTTTATGCTTATACTTCTTTGATAACTGCATGTGCCGGTAGTGGGAGGTATAGGGAAGCCATGATGGTTTTTAAGAAAATGGAAGAAGAGGGTTGCAAACCTACTTTGATAACTTATAATGTGATTTTGAATGTGTATGGTAAAATGGGTATGCCTTGGAGTAAAATCGTGGCTCTTGTTGATGGAATGAAGAGTGATGGAGTTGCCCCGGATGCTTATACCTATAATACGCTTATAAGCTGTTGCCGTAGAGGGTCTTTGCATGAGGAAGCGGCTTTGGTTTTTGATGAAATGAAATTGGTTGGTTTTAGTCCAGATAATGTCACTTATAATGCGTTGTTGGATGTGTACGGCAAGTCTCGGCGACCTAAGGAAGCCGTGGAGGTTTTAAAAGAGATGGAGCTTAATGGTTTTACACCTAGCATTGTAACTTATAATTCATTGATTTCTGCCTATGCTAGGGATGGTCTATTGGAGGAGGCAATGGACTTGAAAAGACAGATGGAGGGAAAAGGGATTAAACCTGATGTTTTTACCTATACCACTCTTTTGTCAGGATTTGAGAAGGCCGGGAAAGATGAGTTGGCGATGGGGGTTTTCGAGGAGATGAGAAGTGCAGGTTGCAGGCCAAATATTTGTACTTTCAATGCTCTAATTAAGATGCACGGTAACCGAGGAAAGTTTACTGAGATGATGAAGGTTTTTGATGAGATCAAGGCTTGCAATGGTGCAACAGATATTGTGACTTGGAATACACTATTGGCAGTGTTTGGGCAAAATGGGATGGATTTAGAAGTGTCAAGAGTATTCAAGGAGATGAAAAGAGCAGGTTTTGTACCTGAAAGGGACACTTTCAACACCCTAATTAGTGCATACAGTCGCTGTGGTTCTTTTGATCAAGCCATGTCTGTTTATAAGAGAATGCTGGAAGCTGGAGTTACCCCAGACCTTTCTACGTATAATGCTGTTTTGGCTGCATTGGCGCGGGGAGGGCTTTGGAAACAGTCTGAGAAAATACTTGCTGAAATGAAAGATGGTCGGTGTAAACCCAATGAGCTAACCTACTGTTCTTTGCTTCATGTTTATGCCAATGGGAAGCAGGTAGATCGGATGCATGCCCTTGCAGAAGAGATATATTCTGGTATCATTGAACCTCATGCTGTGCTCTTAAAGACACTTGTTTTGGTTTATAGTAAATGTGACCTTCTTGTGGAAACAGAGCGTGCTTTCTCAGAATTGAGGAAGAAAGGATTTTCACCTGACATAACTACTCTAAATGCCATGGTCTCAATATATGGAAGAAGGCAGATGGTTTCCAAGACAAATGAGGTCTTGAACTTCATGAATGAGAGTGGCTTTACTCCTAGCTTGACAACTTACAATAGTCTGATGTATATGTATAGCCGCTCTGAAAATTTTGAGGAATCAGAAAAAGTTCTAAGGGAAGTTTTGGCAAAAGGTATAAAACCTGATATAATTTCATATAACACTGTTATTTATGCCTATTGTAGAAATGGTCGAATGAAAGAGGCTTCCCGGATCTTCTCAGAAATGGGCAATTCTGGCCTCATGCCTGATGTTATCACTTACAATACCTTTGTTGCAAGTTATGCAGCTGATACCATGTTTGAGGAGGCTATTGATCTGGTTAGATACATGATTAAGCATGGGTGTAAACCAAACCAGAATACATACAACTCCATGGTAGATGGATATTGTAAACTCAATCGCCAGGATGAGGCAAGATCGTTTGTTAACAACCTGAAGAAGCTAGATCCGCATATTTCCAAGGAGGAGGAAATTAGATTATCAGAGCGTATTGTGGAAAAATGGTCATAGAAGATGGTCTTCCATAAAAAAAGAATCTATCTGTACTGTGCTATTACTGTTTGAGCACAGAGAGAGGAAGCAGAAATGGTCATTTTGTACATGATTCTGTGTTTTTCCTTGTGGTTAATATGCAATTCTTAGCTTTTAGAAGGCTTAGAGATGTATTTAGCTAAGTCTTGTGGGGAGAAGACTGTACAGCTGATGAGTGATGAGACAAGAAACAGGAATGAGGAAAGGGGGGAATTGAAAAACTTCCAAGGTATGTGCAATCAGCTTTATACCAATCAAACAGAAATCATTGTGCAGTTAACGTATTTTGTCTGTAAAATTGTTATCTAAAGAAATGTATAATAGGTTTCATTTGTGCAATAAATACCCCTTTAGATGTAACTGTAACAAGTGCACCATATCTCTGCAAGTTGGATTTTCTGTTTCAATGTTTTCTCAAACTTAGCATGATATTAAACCTTTTGGATGCTAATTATATATTATCTGGTTTGCCGATAACGGTAAGTTTATTTATTCACTGTAATTGAAGAAGCCTCGTGTTGTCAGTGAGAGTTGATTCAAGCCATCATTAACCTAGCCCTTTATCATCTTTTAGAGTGGTTCAACTTTGTGTATGAAATGGCATCAGGATATATTCCAACCTAGGGGAGAAAAGAGAGATACAGGAATGGGGCAATTTACAACAGCCATTGGAATTCTATTCGAGTGGTTAGTTTACTGGCATCTGTACTGTTGTTTCTCATGGTCATTGTTAAAAGTGTTCTTTTTAATTGTCATTAGATCCTACAGGTAAATACATCTTTCATTCTTAATATAAGTCACTCCTACTTTCCCAATGAAAATTCAAATTCTATTACTTGTAGCAATGATTAATAATAGTATGTAGAAGATAATTGTGTTTTCTGGACGCTGGGACTTCCACGCAAGCATGATTTGTACGCTGAGGTGTTAACAAGCTGGGCCGAGTAAGCCAAAATTAGACCAATTCTGCGTCTGAAATTCCACAACGGCAGCAATGATTCATCAACAACCTGTATGCATGTTTTTGGCCTTTTATTTTTTAATTTTTGTTTTATACGAAAACTATAGTCTGCTTACGTGTGCCATATCCGTGTGCGCCAATTACGTGCCGACTTATTTCCGGGAGAGAGGGTACTTCCATAATTCGAACTTCCAAGTCCATAGTATTTATAATTTTTATATGCCCTTTAATATCTGTTTAATAAACAAATTAGAGTATTAGAACAAAAATTCGAAATCTGAGTGGATGTGGTGCTTTAATTTATTATATATTCATTTCCCATTATCAACAGCAATGTACCTTGTAGTTAGCCAAAGATATCCAGGAAATCAGACTTGACTCTACTTGGCTAATGCCTAGCTAATAAATGGATAAGGCTGGATGATTTTTACAGAGCATGAGTTTTATATATAAAATACACACGTCACCTTGCGGAGAGGATGACTATAAAACTAGGAACAGAAAGAAAAGGAATTTGGAACGCAATTTGTGAGAGCAGATTGAGCATTCTTTCATATCAGCAATCAGAAGAAATGAGCTGGTGGTGGGCAGGAGCCATAGGAGCTGCAAAGGTAAAGTAAAGCCCATACGTTTTTATCTGATCAATTTGTTTATTTTCTCTCTTTAATTGTATCCATGTCTCAATAAACTAAGTTTTTCATGGTCAAATTGTCCAGAAAAAATTGGAAGAGCAGGATAAACCATCCAAGTACAAGAGTGCTGCCCTCGTCATTGGCATCACAGGCATCGTCGGCAGCAGCCTTGCCGAAATCCTTCCCTTCTCCGATATTCCAGGCGGACCTTGGAAGGTCTATGGCGTAGCTCGTCGTCCCCGCCCTGCTTGGACTAACGCCCTACGTATTGATTACGTACAATGTAACATCTCAAATGAAGAAGAAACGCAAGATAAACTATCAAAACTTAAGGATGTCACTCACATATTTTATGTTGCATGGGCTGAGAAATCAAGTGAAGCTGAAAATTGCATTGTCAATGGTACTATGCTACGCAACGTGTTGAAAGCTGTAATCCCAAATGCACCGAAGTTGAAACATGTATGCTTGCAAACTGGACGTAGACATTACACCGGTCCTTTCGATTCGGTTGGCAAGGTTCAGCCCCATGATCCTCCATTTCGTGAGGATCTTCCAAGGCTTAACGTGTCGAATTTTTGTTATACACTCGAGGATGTTTTGTTTGAAGAGGTGAAGAAAAAGGATGGATTAACATGGTCAGTTCATAGGCCTGGAGTGATTTTTGGATTCTCGCCATGTAGTTTGATGAATGTAGTTGGTAGTTTATGCGTTTATGCAGCGATATGTAAGCATGAGGGCAAGCCATTAAGGTTTCCAGGGAGTCGACAAGCTTGGGATGGGTATCGGGATGCATCAGATGCAGATTTGATTGCAGAGCATCAGATATGGGCAGCAATGAATCGGCATGCAAAAAATGAAGCCTTCAATTGCAGCAATGGAGACGTGTTCAAGTGGAAGGATTTATGGAAGGTGTTAGCTAAGCAATTTGGGATTGAAGATTACGGATTTCATGAAAGCGATGAGAGGCACAGCTTGGTTGAGACGATGAAGGACAAAGGTCCAGTGTGGGATGAGATCGTCAGAGAGAAGGGTCTTGTGCCAACAAAACTGAATGAGGTAGGGGCATGGCGGTTCGCTGATGCAGTACTTTCTGGAAAGTCATTGTTGGATAGCATGAACAAGAGCAAAGAGCATGGATTCATTGGGTTCAGGAACTCGAAAACGTCCTTCAATTCTTGGATTGAAAAGATGAAAACTCACAAGATTGTTCCTTGATTTGAGATTTGACTAAATGTTGCATTAGAAAGGATTGGATTTGTTCATTTTTGTCTCACCGCCTGTAAATTACAGTCAAAAACATAAAGTAGATTCTGATTTTCTCAAACAGGACTCGATTGTTGTTTTGTTCATTATTGTGACAATTGTTAATATTGTGGAACTGTAATCTTAAAAAGCCATTAAGAAAAGTCTGGCGACATAATAGGAAGGGATTAGTAGTTAGAAAGTTGCAACCAGGAATGCTGAGCAATGCTTGTTCAGAACCAATACAGAAGCAAGAAGAGAATAAAGCAAAACATAAACAGCCAAGAACTTGAGAATGATGTTGTTCAATAGACAAAACAAGTAGCGTGCTGGATACATTTCCTAGATGTTTTACCTGGCTATTCCTCTGATTATAAAACAAAAATCCCATACATGCTAATTTCTCCAGCATTACCTCTTTATCTAAAAAATAAAGAGTTAGTTCATTACAAAGATCTAGAGTTCTGAAAGCAATAATGCTAGCTGTTCATCAGACACTTTAACTTCAACACAAGCTCCCAATGATCCAGCAAGTCTTGCAGCTAATTGATGCTTACACTAGACCCCAAAAAAAAAAAAAAAAATTAAAAGCAATAAAAGGAAGAAAAATGAGAAGGTGTGGAAAGAAAGAAGGAATAACACAATCTTACACAAAGTTGTTCTCCTCTGTTAGCTATATCATAAAAGAATGAATAACAAGCACAATAGTGTTCAGGAAAACAGAAATACTCCTCCTTCCTCCTAGATTCTCCCACAACCTAAATTAACACAACAACAAGAAAGAAACCCAATTTCAGAAAAACTTTCGGGAGAATGGTTACAATGGCATTTGCCTAAATTACCCAAATTTCACAGCAAGGCAGTCACTGACAAATTTTCAAACTTTTCGGATTATATTTGCCAAAACTCTAATACACACACACACATACAGTTCAGGATATTATATTAAGGTTGTGCAAAATGAGATTTATATGGAAAGAAGAGAATGAACCTGAAAGATAGAACGACCGCTGGGCTCACCAGAGATCTTCTTGACACCCCTTTGGTCCACTATCCTAGTTGCTCTCTCCAAGTTTTTACCAAACAAGAAATGCAAGCTGCAATTCAAGATAAAGAAATAGAAAAAAAAAAAAAGAGCTACTGTTTAAAGAACTAATCAGTACCCATTTCTAATCCTATCTGATTTCTTAAATCCAAGTAGTAAAGATTAAAGAAAATGGGCATTTGCTTACATTGACAGCTGCTCCTCACTCACTGGCCAATGTGACACAGCATGTACATAAGATCACCAAATAGAAATTAAAAAGGAAAAATGATAGTATTAGAAAGAAGGAAGAGATAGAGGGGAAAAAAGAAGGACCACGATGAGTTGACTCGATAGTTTTCCACACTGATTCAGCGACCAAATGGCTTGCAGTCATCCTTTTCTTCGGATTGCAAAAGCACAGATTTTGAAAAGGTCTATTGCGATCCTCCAGCCAAATTAGTAGTTTGGAAGTTTCTTACCGCTTCCATGACGAAAATCTGAACAAATTGCTGCTTCCAGAGCAGTAGAAGTCGAGCAGTTCCCTCTTCCAATGCAAGTAAAACTATCAAAGGGCAGGTTTCGGTTACTGTCCGAGCGAAACACACCGAAACAGATTTCTTTGTTTCTTCTTTTTTCTCACATAAATGTAAAATTTGTGATTCACTCATTCAATTTGTTCTTTCCGTTCGCTTAACGTCCTTATAACAGTGATGGTCAATGGTCAAATTCTTGGACTTTAATAATAAAAAAATATAATTTTTTTAAAAATTCTTGAATTATCTAAAAGTTTTTAAATAAATATTTATATTTAATCAAATATATATATATATTTTAAATTAAATACATTTTTATAATTAAAAATAATTAATTATTATTAATTAAAATAATATTTATCAATTTACAACATGTGATATTAATATGATATATTAACTTACCATATTATCTAACATGATAATACGATCACATGTATTTTTCACTTTTCAATTTTGTGTCATAAAAATGATAAGTAAATTTTGATTAATGATCATTAATTAATTTTTAATCTTAAGAATGTATTTAATTAAAAATAAAAATATTAAATTAAATTAAATTAATTAAAAAAATTTAAAATATTATGTAAAACAAAATTCAAGATTTTAATTCAGGTGGCAGATATTTCTTTGCTGTATTTATTTAGGTTGAATTAAAGTATTTGACCATTGCTTTGGCCACTTTATTTTGACAAGGAAATCTTAACCAATTCGCATAAAACGAATCTCACAACATAATGACGTCATTACTAGTATAATATAATTCCTTCATTGCCTTTCATCTTACGACACCGACGATTTCATCTTTGACTTGGTATAACCAATTAAAACAAAATAGTAATAGTATAGTCTTAACTCATTGGAAAACATTGGAAAAAACATAAAATTCTTTAAATAACTTAAAATTCTTATTTGGACTTATATTTATACATTGGAAAACATATTGACAAAGTTAAAAAAAGGAAAAAACTGTGTCTTTGCCTTCTGCATATCAAAGGACAAGTTAACGTAACCCATCATCCTAGTTTTGGCGCAACTGGTTGTCGCTTTATCTTTTTGGTCTGTTCGTTTCACCTAACGCATAGGTTGCTAGTTGCCGTTCAATCGAAGGAAGCTGTCTTACAATATTGGTACTAAACACCTTTCTGTTTTATTTTAGACATCCAAATTACAAGGCAATCTTGTTGTGTTGGTACTCTCCGTTTTTAAAAGAAAATAAGAACAGCGCAGTTTCCAATATTCTCAACCATGATGTCTAAATTTAACGTACTTCCCATCTGCGGATATGGTGGATTTTAGGAAGAATGAATGAGTTGGGGAAACTTGGGGTAAAGAAGCAACAGATTATCATGTTGACTATGAACATAAAATAAAGCAATACAAAAATGATGCCTTCATTTTTTCTGGGATGCATTGATATCAACTTCAAAAAGGGTAAAGGCCAAGAATCTGACAGAAAACTGAATGCCGTAGAACTTCACTTGGAAAAGCTATACCAGCCAGCTTCTTTCACTTGGAAAATGAATATCTATACCAGCCTGCTTCCATCAGCATCCACCTTATATCCTTCAGTGACTTAATTACCTTCCAAACTCTATATTCTCTCCAAAGAACACTCCTACGTTCAGAACCGATCCCAGCTATCATTGTGTTTCTTTACATAAATAAACTTACTTGAAAAGTCAGTGTGCTACTCTATAACTCAATTCTGCTGTATTCAGGAAATTGTTTGAAGCAGATCCTCATCTGCTTCATCTGCATTGAAGGAATAGACGTCCACAGGCGCTGTCGTGCACCCCATGGCATTTTGTTTAACCCTGTTATTGGAAGAGCCTTGGGGTTGATCAAGATAAATTACAATCACAGTGATGTCATCATGAAAATGGCGCCTTATTCCCTTTTCAATTTTCTTTATATCATCATATCTCATCTCTCTTTTCTTTGCAACTGCTTGAAGTGCTGCTCTTACCAATCTCTTAGCAATACCCTGCAAGTATTCAGCAAATTTGAAAATGAATATCAAAGAGCTATGGAGAAGTTTATAGTTTGTTTCAAAGATAAAAGTGAGAATTCATTTCCGCTAATTTAACTGACAAGACAAACATGAACACTCACAGCTCTGGGGTTTTTGAAAACAATGTCTACAGCAACTTCATCACTCAACTGCTCCCATAGGCCATCGGATGCAAAGATCAGAAAAAGGTCCTGTGGCTTAAGCTTCCTAATCAGGATAGAAGGTTCTGCTGTAATTGCAGGTCTTTTAAGGGGAACAGGATTTCCAAATTGCTGAAAGATTGGATCTCTATAAAAGTCAGGTTTCTTCAGGTAAACGTCACCAATAGATCTCGACACCTGAATAAGAAAAACAAATGCTTAGACCAGCACAATCCATCACATGATCTAAAATCATTAATTAATCCAGAGTCTTACAATCTGGGGTAAGATTAAAAGCTAATGAATCTTATTCCCTCAACTCATGTAAGGATTGAAGCATAAAGCTCCAGTTGCCTGCTAAAGTTAAGGGAAAGAAATCACCAAAGGAGAAAAAATAAGCCAAAAAAAAAAAAAACAGAGAAAAGACTCCCTGTAGTTACATAAGCTTAGCATATGCTTCAGGGGTCTTCATTTATCCATCTCATGCATAGAAGGCAATACTATTTGAACAACACGCTGATGAGACAGTACCAGAAGTTGGACAAAAATATTCCCGAGAAAAGTTGGAAGTACAACCCTTTTTTAGAATAGCTTCATTACTACGCATAACGCATTGTGTGCGTAATATAACGTCTCCACCAAGCAAAAGGAACTGTAAGAACACCAACGGGCGTAAATATGCAAAAGATTTTACCAATAATCATACCTGGGACAAAAAAACGATGGCAATAATCAACTCAGCTCAAAATTTGAGTCTGCTTTGGGGCAGATACAGAGCTGATTAATTGTCAAGCACCAAAAAGGTAAAAAAGCATACTGATTTCATTGACTATTCCTAGAACCAATACATTTCCTATTCCTCAAACTGACTGATATACACCTAAACTCTAATACATCGACTTGGCAACAGAACTGTACCTGGATTATGCCCTTAATCCTCCAAACTCCACGGGTGTACACCACTATATGAGAATCATCTGGGTGAAGAGCCTCAACCTCCTTTCTGACTTCCTCATCTCCAACATTATGATCTGTTGACAGTCTCTCTGCCACAACCATCTTTTTCTTATCCTCTGAAACTCTCCGGCCAAGAACTGCTCTTGAATCACCAAGGTTTGCCACATATAACTCATCATTTGATATAGCACCAACTAGACAGCATGATCCAACTGAAGCAATTTGAGGCCTCAGCGGCAATGATCGCTTCACCAAATGCAAAAACTCCTCTTCAGTTGCATTGAATGCCTTCTTTATAACATCTGCAGATAATCCCCCTTGTTCCGTAGCAAATTCTACAAATTAAAAAGGAAAAACTAAAGGTCAAAAGGGGTGACTACAATCCACTATGCCTTCCATCACTCTTTTTAGATTTCACATGCAAAATTATCAATGACGCAGGCCAAAAGCCAAAAAAAAGAGAGAGGTGAGGGGTGCCAAAAACTTGAATTATACTTGTTATTGATTGTTGAATCTCGTAGTTCAAAGTCCACTATCCAACACATATAGATACAAATTCAGACTATGTTCTTATTCATTTTATACACTGGTGTACTTATCAAAAACATCCAAATTAAACATGCATGATAAACACTGGTAAGTTGTTCCCAATATCCATATACTAACAAACACATCCTGATATAATGCTTAAAACCAAAAAAAAAAAGAAGAGATTTACAACAAAATCTTCATTTCCCATTAAAACAAAAAAGAGAAAAAACATAATAACAATTGGGTATAACTAACGGATAAATATTTGATGCTTTATGATGATTCCCTTGAGGGCTTAAGGTTTGCCTGTCATGCCCACACACAAGACTATATGTTCAGTCTATGCACATGTAATAGCAAATCAAAAAGACGAAAAATTTACATGCAAAGGCAGGGCAACATGCATAGCAGCATAGATGCAAACACACCCCCATATCCGATAATAAAAAAAGGCAACAAGTACCATAAAAATTTTATTCTCCTAGAAAAGCAGAATAAAGAACATATTCTATATCCAAAACCCAAGAGAAAAGAATGAGCAATTGCTGAAAGAGATGAGAATAATAATTACTGTGGAGAAAAGGGAAGAGATGTTTGTTGACAAATCTTGACGCTTCAGGACCACCATGTCCGTCATAGACACCAACGTAGGTAGCAAAAGGAGATGTAAAGACTTGGCTTTGATCTTCAAGGTTGTTGTTCGCTTGCACCACAGCGATGGAGTAATCACCGGAAGCGTGCGGTTTGAGGTCAGCGTGCCACATCAGACCATCCCCACCAGCCCTCAACCCAAGGCAACGTTCAAGCGGCCTGGAAAGCGACCGCAACATCATCATCCTTTCGAAAGATCCTCTGCTATGGAATAACCTGCCGTCGTCTCTTCTCTTCTTTTTATTGGTTTGACGTTTGGTTTTTTTGGTGTCAATAGAGAGAGAGAGAGATAGAGAGTTTTAATGCGATTTTTTCTGTTGTTGTTGTTGCTGTGGTTTTTGGTTAGGTAATGGAAGATTTAAGAGAGAAAAATAAAGAGAAGAGAGAGGGAGAGTGAGAGGGGGAAGTGGGGTAAAGAGAAAGGGGAGATGCCGCGTGAAGGGGAAGATGACAAGACCCGATACTCGCTGGATTACTATGTATTAAACGCGCTAACATAAGGCCTAATTTGTTATAGTTTTCCTTTCCCCTCCCCATTTTCTTTTTCTTTCTTTTTGACTTTCCCCTTTTCTTTTCTGCTTTTTAAGTTCGCCCTTTAAACTTCTTTTTCTTTTTTTTCTGAAAAGCCCTTTGAACTTCTTGGCCAGAGACTATTTTAATATTTCAATGTTCTACATAAAACTAGGTTTAATATTTTCTCTTATTCCATTTGGGTATGCATGAGGGATTCATGCATAAGTTATCAAATGATTTTACGTATATACTTAATACTTGTTCATAGATGTGATGTTTGGGGGGTATTAAAAGATTATTAATTGTGTGAAATATGTGAACCTGACAGAAAGATACAGTTACCAACCTCTGTCCACACATGTTATTTTGTTTTTGCCAAGCTGCTCAACTGAAATGACAAGATAAAATCTAATAGCAGTATTAGTATAATCTCTCTCTCTCCCTCTCTTTTTTTTTTTGGTTATTTTTCCTTTTTAATTTTCTGATGAAAATGGAGGAATTTCGAGGAACAAGATTTTGGGGAATAGATTGAGACTGTTTATGGTGATAGCAATTAAAGTGTTGTTTACAATTAGTTTGTGAATTTTGGTCAGGCAACTTAATATAAGACATAGATGCTTTATATTTTTAAGTTCTGCTGCTATCAAAATTAAGGAGTATCTTTCCCCTTCTTCATAACAAAAAGAAGTCACAACTATTAAATATACAGTACCACATACACGAAGGAGTTCAAATTACAAAGTTCATCTGCAGTTGGGTCAACTGTCAAAATTTTCCATCAGAGCACAAGAAACACAGGAAAAGGACAAAAAAAAAAAAACCCCTTATGTTCTATTCACGAGTCTTGACTACCTTTTAAGTATACTTCTTCTACAGTAAGGGCAATCCCCACACGTTCTAACCCACGGATCTAAGCAGGCTAAGTGAAAACGGTGCCCACAAGGCAGCCGTGTAAGTACATCTTCGTCCGCAAAGCTCTCCAGACATATACTGCAATCCTTGATTCCCTTGACAACATTTATCGACGTCCACCTCCCCGCTGCTAAAAACTTCCAGCGGCAAACTGTCCAGGGCCTCCTGTGTAAGACCAGGAGGCTTCTTGTTAGTTTCTTCCAACAACTGAATCCTTTCTGTTTGAGGTGTCAGGTCAGTAAAAGGGGAACTCCCAGATGACAATCCGGTGGAAATATCACTTCCCCAGTCCCCTGCATCAACCAGCCTGAAATCATCACCCAATAAATACTCCCTGCGGTAAGCATTGGGTGGAGTTCTGCTGCTTCGCCTAAACAAGCAAATGAATAACAAAGGGAAGAAACCAAAAATGAAATAAAAAAAAGCAACCAAAAAAAAAAAACCCATGGCGTACAAATGTTTAAACAGTCACTTGGACTCTGAAGTCCACTACTGAATGCAAAACATGACATAAATATGTCCATTTCTGAATGCCGGACACAACATTAATGAATACACGTGCAATAGGTCCACATGTGCTTCTCCCAAACAGTCAATCGTATTTAGGAAAAGGTAATACTAATTTGCTATAGATAGGAAGTGGCAGCAGACGTGGGCTGATAGGCATAGTGGCTAGTGGTGTTAGGACCACTAACATTACTCAAGTATAAGAAGCACCAGTGGGACTGGACATTACTGGTAGTTAGTGATGCAAGTACAACCACCACTACTTGGTAGAAAGCACCAACAGCAGCAGTGGGCCTGGATATTATGGTAACACTGATGGCTTGGAGTAACAAAAGCAGTATCAGTTTTAATGTATTAGCAAAAGTGGGACTTCAAAGTGATGACAGGGTCTTCAAGGAAAAAAAAAATCTGTGAAAAATATGATGTTCCATAAAAGCATCCAGGGTAAGAAAGAAAAAACAACAACTGAAAGCTGAACTCAGTGACAACCCAGCCAACTGACCGCAATGCTGCATCATAGTGCTTGGTAAGTTAAAAAAAGGTATGGATCAGGGGCAAAACCAGGAATTTGCCTTTTTTGGGGGGGCGGAGGGTAAAATTTTTTTAGGAAAATATGGTATATATTTTATTATAACAAAAATATTAGTAAAACAATTGTGAAGTTAACCTCATTAACAACAAGCAATAAGTATACTAGGTACAGATGTAATAAAAATGTGATTGAATATAAACATTAGATAAATTTCTTTCATACAGAAAATATATATACTTTACCTCATATCATCATATGGCATATATAAAGGATTGAATAAAAATTTATGTGTAACTAGTAACAGAAGATAAGTTGGAAAACATTATACATAATGCTCATAAAGTTCCATTTTAAAAACTAAAATTAAGGGAAATGGCAAATAAATGAAGAGGGAAAAAAAGTATGTCACATGTACAATTGGTTTTAGATATATGCAAAATACAAATTAGTTGATACAAGCTAACACATTAGCAAAAAACTTCCCAAGCCAAGGGGAGGCCAGGGTCCCTGCCAGCCCCACCTGGATGGAGTGAGTGAAACTAATCTCTTCATTGAAGTGCTATAAGCCCCAGGCCATCTTCCTAACAGATCTATCATATGATATAGTACATCTATTCTTATTGCTAAATTAAGTCAGACTCCTAGTACCCTGATAATGGATCACAGTTGACTACATCACACTTAATCTTCCCACTAATTATGATATAAATTGCTAGCATATCCACAAAACCAGAGTACAAAAGCAAAATCATTATTTGGATTCAGGTAAACTTTTACAAATTTTCATATGATTCGTCTATACTATCTGAAAACTTCACAAAAAAGTTATGGATGCAATGTGGTGTCCTTCAAAAGTTGGCACCCATTTAAAAAATTGGTGTCAGACCAAGAATGGCAGGTACCAATTTGGTCCAATTAGAACAGCAAACAAAAATAAGTGCTATAGGTAGGTTCAGCATCATTGATTTACAGTGGCTTCTAGTTGATGTCAAAGCTCAGGCAGAATTATAATATTCAAGATAAATAAGAAAATGACATAGGTAGCTATAATGTCCCTTTTATTTCATTTTGACAAGTAACATAATAAGGTAACTATGACAAACCAATGCAGCAACTATGAGTTTCAAACTTGCAAAGAGCTCTAAGCACCAACCTGTTTGTAGAAACAGACACACCTCTCAGTCTCTCAAGAAGCCTCGCTCTTGCAAGAAGCACTGCTCCAGGAAGCCTCTCATTTGATGTCAAACTTGGCCTACTTGAACTGCTTACAGCGTCTGCATTTAAAGCATTGCTTAATACAAACGGGCTGGTACCTTGATCAAATCGCATAGATGAACGCTCCTGCCCAAGCCAAATTCAATATAGAATTACTCAAAGGCATTCAAAATATTCAACACCGATAAAAGAAGGTATTAATACAACCTCAATGCCCGGAAAATAAATCAATCCGGAGAGTACAACTATTAGTTGTGAAAGGAGATTATATCAAACTACTCTATCTCTTTCTGGATAGGTTAGTGGAGAATTTTACTGCAGGTTACCTTAGGGCTCAGATAAGTTATCAACAAAAATTTACAATATATAACTATTTTTCAGTAATTGCACTGATAAATTTACACTGTAAAATTAATTTTCAAAGCAAAATTCAATATTGACGCAGATAACAGACAATGAAGCTCAATAAATTGATAAAATCCAATTTTTACTTAAATTAAAAATGCAATTTATTTTTAATTCCAAAAACATATTACTCCGTGTTTAATCTTTCATTTCTCTTTATTCAGCAACCAAATAAAAATAAACAACTAACAAGGAATAACAAAAAAGTAGTTGACGGAAAAATTGAGCGTACAGATTGAGAGGAGGCACGTGAGCTGACTGGGCGCACATGGGGGGACCGACGGAGATGATCACAGCCGTCCAAATCATGCCTGTGATTGTGGTGACTGAGATGATGGCGGCGATTGTAATTCCGATCAATTGAGGACCCAATCCCCGGATCTGGATCGGGTCGGCCCACTCTCGACCTTCGAGTATAGAACAACTCGGAAGCGCTCGTCATTCACCACAAGCCCCAAATGCTTTTTGATCTAATTTACCAATTAAGTTTCCTCTTTAGAAAAATAATTAAAAATGCTTTCCAATTATATTCCGAATTAAGAAAAAGAAAAAGATGCGAAGCCGCTGGAAACCTTCGACGAAACGCGAGAGAAAATGCGTGCGAAGAAAATCCGATAGCGTTAGCTTCGAAGAAAAGAAGCAGACGGTCAAATGAAATGTTCAATTTTATCGCCAAATTAGGCTTTATTATCTCTCTTATCAGTTATTTCTGGACAAGTACACGCTCCCTTTTTTCTCACTTTTTCTAAGGAAGGTATTTTTTTGTGTTGGTTGGAGAATTCGGTTTTAGATGTAGCCACGTGTTGAATGAAAAAGAAAGAGTTTGCATTAACCGTTGGATCACAATATCGAGATTAAATTTATAATTATACAACCTTAACGTTTCGGTGACCAACGGACATAACGCCTTTTGACGGTTTTGCTTAATCAAACAGGGAATCGCCGCCGTCGGTATTTCCGCGACAGATTTCTTTAAATATCTTCAAGATAGTTCAGCTGTTGACTACGTAAGAAGAAATTTTTTTTGTCGTAGGCTTTTTAACGTGGGCTTTTGGCTTAAACGAAAAGGAAACTCATGCCAAATTCAAAGTAAATTGGGCTGAAATTAAGTATATATCTTGTAAGTTGGTTGGCTCATTTGCATCTCTAAGCAAATGTTCACAGAATTTAATACTTAAAATTTATACCATTGAGTTGATATTTGTATCTTTTTCATGCATGCATTACCTTTCCATTTCACTCTTATTATTAGAGCTGAGCTTACTAATCGGAAGAGAAATTTATCCATGGCCTAATTTCGATCTTTGAAAGTGAAATTAGGAACGTTATTGAGTTACATATTGGGATATCCTTTCCAACTAGGAAATATTAATAGCATTTAAAGTTGAATTTACTTTCACTATTAAGTTGTTTCCTGCTGTCGATGCATGTAGCAGCACGCAACTGATGATTTCAGCTAAGGCCACAATATTTATTCACAAACCTTCCCTACTATAGTAGTTCGTTCATTAAGCTAAAGGTACTTTGGTTTCAGCTATATATTACGTGGCTCACATATTTGCATGGCAATAGTGATGATGACTTGAAACTTGGTCAGGGTCTGGTTTCTCAACACCATCAACGTTCCTGAGCCAAAAAGGCGAACCCAAAGAAGCGGCGTCGTCTGGAACATCGTTCATCACCCATTCATGGCCTTTTGGAAAGTATATCCCACTCTTCGGATGTGGAACCCAGGACGACGAATCTTTGATATCCTTATCCTTCGTTCTCCTGTCCTTGGTAATCTCCTTATCTGCGCCCGCTATTTTGCTCAAAGAACGCTCAACTACCTTTGCTCCCCTGCATGAGTTCGCCATCAAATTAGTTAATATCAGAACACTTATTCTCAATCGCAGTCATGTTTGGAGTTCATCTTCTCAAAACATAAGCAAAAAAAGGGCAAAATCTACAGTAAGAAAGCGTAGAATAACGTTACCTAAGCATTAAAATCTTAGATTTGGCTATAGCAGCTCTTCCCATAAACCAGGGCTAAAAGTTTGAAGCCCAAAAGACTAAACGAGAGGTCTCGAGTATCTTGAACGAAAATGATTGTAATGAAGGCACAGGACTTGTTCACTTTATATAATGCTTTGAAAGTGCAGTCCTGTACTTCTGTATACGAAATTTGAAGAATAAATTCTCATAAGGTGGATATGGTGAAGGTTGATGGAAAAAGAAAAAGCCGGTGATTGAACGATTTGTGGCCAAAAAACCATATGCTAATATTATTGCAGATAATATACCATCTCCACGTCCTATAAAATTAATAGCAAACTGTGGTAAAGAGAGAACGCGTTAAATAATTTTGATGCTTTGTCTTCTTGCTTAGCTCGTTTAAGGACTTAGGAATATTGGGCATCTTCTATAAACAGTGACAAACTGATGTGACAGGTTACTTATCGTCCCTCAACCGCTGTAACTGGCGAATGGTTTGAGCACGGATTCCTTTGCTTGCGACCAACTCCGTACGTTTATACTGTTCAAAGGTTGAACGAGGGAGAAATTTGAGAAAGTAGAATGACCCCTTTAATTCTCATCTAATTTTTCCAATCAATGAAGAGCTCTAATTATAGTCAGGTTTTAGATGGTGTTGGCTTGTTTTCTCTTAAATTCAGAGAGAAGTATTTTAACCTATCGGAATCCTGACAAATCAATCAATCACTGATCTAAAGCAATCACGGGTGGTGATGATAGGGACGGGATTTCTTTGAAATTGAAAGCACCCTTTCATCTTTGCTAATATATCTATTTTTAATTCTGATAAGAATATTGAAATATATATAAATTAAATAATCATATATAAAGTACAATATTTCATGTGCATGTTCCTATTTAACTTGATTTCTCCAAATTCGAACCACCACCATGCACAACGAAAAGACTTTTCAATGATATTGCTTTGGCTTCAAAGATTCGACTTTAAAATATTATCTCCTCTTACAATATTTTAACTTAAAATTAATACAAAAATGGTCACAACGGTAAAGTTCTGAGCTAAATTTTAAAAATTTTCAATTGAAAGGTCTTCACCTTCAGATACTGGAAAAGGAATATGAACCTTAAAAATGACACTTGTAGTTTTTTTTTTTTGTTGGAAAATCAAAAGAGAACTTTCATTAATCAATGAGAAAATAAAGGGTTCCCCAAAGAAGAACAAAGGCAACGTCCAAAAGACTGAAAAAAAGATAATATGCCCTTAAACAAAAACCAGCATATTTTCCACTAACACCTTGAAGGCATCAAAAAGAGACCCATCAGAACATCAAAGCAAAAAATAACTGGGATTGCACCTTTACAATCAGCACACAATATGATTCCAGCAACAAAAAACAAAAAAAAAAAGAGACAAATTCATGACTATACAATCAAAAAGGTTCAGAGGAGTTTACCACCAGCCAAAGAGGCACACCGCAAGCACACAGGGTTCGTAATCATCTTGAGACGGATAGAAACCAGCAATACACAGCCATTCTAAAAAATCAGCACTCCAAGAAGAAGTCATAAAACTGGCAAAACTTGTCACGCCTTAAACCCAAAATTTGAAGACATAACAGACATCACTTACTTATGAAAAGAATCCATAAACATGTAAAGCAATAATATCATATTTAATCGATGTAATATTTTCACAATCTTTTTCAAATTTACGTTTTACAAAACTTTAAGTCTCAAAATATAATATTAAAATACAATCCTCCAACAGATACAAATTTTTGATCTAGCTAACATCTATTTAATAAATTAAAAATTGATTACTCATATCATAGCTTATAATTATTCAAGAGCATATGTTAATCTTGCTAACCAAAACTCTTGCCAAGCAAATCTAACTCCCAAACATGCAAAGATCTTGAAATCTGTAAAATGATGAGAATTAATGGAATGAGTACAACTACTCAGTAACTAACTGATATCCTTTTAACTAGGTTAAGCATGCTCAAAATACTTAGGCCAAAATTATTATTACATATATAGGTATCAAAATAAAATTTTAGGTAATCTCCTTTAGAAACAAATATTTCAAAATTTCATTTTTAAATTACAAAAGTAAACATAATTTCACTTCAGATAACATAGCTAATACAACTTCAAAACTTTCAAATAATAGAACAAAACATAATTTCACATTGATTTTAGACTTTATTGGTCTCGTATAACATACTAGAGCCATACTTAATCCCTATGGCATAAATCATAATCATATTAAAATCACAATTAACTCCAGTGGCATGGATCATAAGTATGTCAGAAGCAATTATTAGTTGCTCTAAAACAGATATCACAAATACTATTATTCTGTAACCTGTAGTGTAGTTGGGAGATCGATCTCTAATCACAGAATACATATCGACATGGTCAACATTTAACCCCCATTGGAAGGATCGTAACAAAACCATACTAGGAGACAAAACAAAAGCATATATTTTTAAATTACTCGAATTTCACAAAATAGTATATTTACTTTGTCAAAACTTATCTCTTGCATATCAAAAACATAATCGTTTCAAACTGAATATTCACAAAAGTAGTCATATATGCATACATTGATAAAAATCACGTTCCAGAACAAAATTGAAATCATATTCAAAAAATTACTCATAGAGATCGTATTTACTTACATATATTAATATGTACACCTGATTTAACAAATCATAAAACAAAATATCATATACAAATGCGAAAATCATATTGAGGTAAATTTTAGGGTGTGAAAACATTGAAGGGATATCAATCACTTACCTAATTCGCTAAAACCAAAACCAAAAGCAAAAAATTAAAATCTTCTTGAAGCCTATTTGTTAAAAATACTTGAAATTAGAAACTAACATTGCTAACTTATCAAAATGAATCATGACTTTTTATTGGTCATTCCAAAGACATTTAGAGTGTAGCACTGCTTTCCCTAATCAAAAATCAATTTTAATTCCTTTAATAATTTATAAATACATAAAATATTCAAAACTTAAAAACTCAAAGATTATAATACAAAATTAGTAACAATATGAGGTTGGGTGAAAATACTTTAAATACAAATCAAAATTTAGATTTGAAGATTTCTAAGAAATATTTCAAAATATGTCAATTCAAATTAATTTATCAGATAAATATTTATTCATAAAAAGTTCATTAAAATTCAAATATCTTAAATTTCTGAAGTTTCTATCAAAATAGGTCGAATAGAGGTAAAGAATAATTTTTCAAATAATTAAAAATGACTTCTCATAAATTCTAAAATTTCATATTTTCATAGTCATTTGGCTAACTTCAAACACTTATAACTCTTAACCTGAATTATTTTTTGTGATAAAATCAACACCAATTTGAAGTACTCATATCATATTATAACACTAAAATTTGTTTTGACTAAAAAGAACACAAGATTCCTAAGTTTCAAAAGCCAAAAATTTAGAAATTATCACAAACTTATCCAGATTTATAGATTTTCAGTATTAACGAATCTATTTTGAGGCTTTAATTCTCTTAACATAGGAAGCCCTTAATCAAGCCATTGATGCCAAATTAAACACCTCATTTCACACTACAAAAGTCCTGAAAGAAACAATTCAAAATGTTACTAGAATATGGAGTTTCGGTAACCAAAGTTGGGTCATCAAAACTGTTAAAATTAAGTTTTCAATCAACTTTAAAAATTTGTATCTTTTTAACCATAAAGCTAAATGAGATGTTACAAAAACCATTGGAAAGATCCTTTCAAGACCTTTCCACTAGTACCCATTATGCCACTGAAAAGTCACTAGAATAGTATCGAATTTGAATGAAAGTTGAAGAAATATAAACTAAAATTAAAGCCTAATCATACCTTAATTATTACTTTCTTGAATAATTACTTTCTTGAATAATTCTTTCCTTACCTGTTTTCCTTTAAATGTGTAACTGCCTTTATTTAAATTGTTTTACTACTTTTTATTTTTAAAACTGACTTACTGATTGATTTTTATTTTAAAATGTGATAAGATATAATTGATTTTTTTTAACGTTATAACGTAATCAGACTCCAATTAAAATAAAACTACTCTATTTGCTAAAAGGTCCTTATATACACCTATTATATTATAAATCCAATTATTTTATAAGTAATTTCAATAAAACCTATTTATCAAATTTAAGATTTTGTAAACATACTAATGTAATCGTATTTTTGGGTTGGGGTATTACAGAACCAACATCCAAGAGATGAAAACTGTATGCATGAAGCAAAGGGGAAATGAGTTTCTTACTTGAAAACATGAAAATATCATATGAACAATGCACCCCATCCTTTATTAGCCTATTTGCACTTTGATTAGCATCTCTCTTAGTGTGCTTAATATTCCAATTGCCAATAATCTTTTAAATCACTCAATTTACAAAGTCCATTTCCTTAATCTCCAAGGTGCTGAAGCAGGGACTTTTATCCATTTAACCACATTGCATGAGTCACTTTCGATCAGCAAGCTAAAATCTTTTTTCCATTTAGATGCAGTAAAGATGACAAAAGCTTCCTTGACAACTCTGTATTCGACAAGGTTGGAGTCAACTTCACCAATGTGTTTGGAAAAAATAATTTTGATCTCTCTATTACTATTCCGCAATAAGCCGTCTATACTAGCAAGCCCAAGACATCTTTATACTACTCCATCAACATTGAACTTTAATGATCTCTCATCAAGGGTAGTCCATGAGATGTTTTTAATAACATTTTTATTCTTCTTAGGCTAACCATGAATTAAGGGCTCTCTATAAATATCCAAAACTGAAAAGTAATCACCTAGCCATTTGGCATTAGACCAAGAAGCTATTTTTACTTTGACTAAGTCTAAACATTGATCAACATTCCATTCTTTACCACTAAAGATGACTTTATTTCTACATTTCCAAATACACCAAACAATAGCAAAATACGTAATTTTCCAAATTCTAACATTAATATTACCTAAGTTACAATTATTCCAAACTTCGAAAAAGGTTCTAATGTCAATGGGGACAACCCATTCACAATCGCATTACTTCCACCATCCCACCCAAACACTCCAAGTTTCTTTGCATTCAATAAATAGGTGACAACAAGTTTTTTTATTGAGATTACAAAGAACACATAGACAAGGGTTATTTCGTAAAATACCTTTTTTAGCCTGCTCGTCTTTAACTGCAATCTTACCATGCATCAATTGCCAGACGAACACTTCCATTCTAAAAAGTGCTCGTCCTACCCTGACATATTTCCATATCTTCTCAGTTTTTTCCTTAAGACCAATAGCCAGCTTACAAAATGATATGGTAGTCTACACAACATTGACCTCAGATTTCCAAATTAATTCATCTTTAAGCACTTTACTCAGGTTGGAATTTCTTAACAGCATACCTTAATTGCTCACATTGCTCATTTTCCTAACCGAAATGCCGTCTTCGTAAATTAACATTTCAGACCCAAGAGTGTTCCTCCCAATGTCCAAAATCAGCGACTTTGCCATTTTTATTAATAGCCAATGCAAAGATTCTCGAAAAGCCTTGACCTAAAATGATCTTGTTGACCTATTCATCACTCCAAAAAAGTAGATTATCGTCTTCACCCACTTCAAAACCAAAGTTAAGAACAACTTGTAAGTAAAACTTGTTAAAAGGGGAAAGAGGATTAAAAATGTGCCTCCATAAGGTGGAAACTCTCTTGTTTACACTCTTGTTTGGCAAAAGAATGGAAGGATTGCTACCGACTTTGTCAATTATCACCTATTTCCAAAGACTATCAATCTCCTTCCCATACCTCTAGATCCATTTGTTAAGTAAAGCATGATTTTTCACGTTGATATCTATAATACCAATACCCCCACAGTTCTTGTAGTTACATACCTACAAGATGAATTTTTCTTTTTTGGTCATCCTTTTTCTACAAGAATTTATGTTGTAATTTTTCAAGCTCTTTGTTTACCTTATGAGGAACTTGAATGAGGGAAATAAAGAACATGGGCAAGCTGGTCAAGACAAATTGAGTAAGGTGATCCTACTTCCAAATGATAGCATTTTAGTCTTCCAACTATCAAGCTTTCTCTTCATTTTTTGAAAGACTGGATCTCAAAATCTAATTGAGTTATATTTGGCACTTACGGGGAGCCCAAGGTATGTGGTGGGTAAGTAGCCCACCTTACACATGATCTTCGTAGCCTATTTTCCCACCAACCTCTAATCGATCCCAATTCCAATAAGATGACTCTTTGTGAAATTGACTTTAGGACTTGAAACACTTCAATAACATTTAAGAGTCCTCTTGAGAACTAATAAATTTTTAAGGTCCACATCACAAAATAGGACTTTGTCATTTGTATATTGCACATGTGTGAGAGACAAACCATTTATCCCAATCATGACTCCTTTGAAAATCTCGATGCTCTCCACTTTACATAACATGGCACTGAGGGCTTTTCCTACAATGTTAAATAAGAAAGGAGAAAGGAGACATCCTTTACCGAGGCCCTTTTCCATACCAAATTATCTTGATGGTGAACCATTGACAAGAATAGAAATTTTAGCTATGAAAATACCCTCCTTAATCTAATAGAAATTTTAACTCCAAACCCCATATATCCCATCACATGATCAAGAAAGTTCCAACTGATGTTATCGAAAGCTTTTTCAAAGTCTAGTTTTAGTACCATAACTCTGAAAATATGTTTTAACCCTGGAAGTTAGGAATCCAATTAACTTCCACTAACATGTATGTTTGCATAACTTTTACTTATCATTTTTTAGAATTGAAGACTAAGTTTTTGTTAGACTAAGCCCTACAAGCCAATTTGTGGTGGTATGTGAATTGCAATTTTGAGATATTCATGTACGACATTTTGTTATTCATAATAATATTGAGGTAGTTCTTTATCCATAAGTTTGTGATTTAATTACTTTTTGTACTTATATAGATATAAATCATGGAACTATATATGCCTTGCAAAAGAACTGTATTGAGATATAATTATGAGATCTTTATGCATCAAATCATTATTCCTAAAAGTTCTTGATTATTGTATTATTGAGACAGAGCATCAATAATGCTCAAAGATCGACACATGTTATGTTCCTTTCTTGTGAAGTAAGCAATCGCTTTTATAGGTTGAAATAAAAAAATAATTGGAATTAGCATGTGGGCGCTTACCATTGGAGAGAGAGTTCACTAAACATGACCTGCCATGAGAAGTGCATTTAGTTCCTCACTCAAGTACCTGTGCAATAATTCTCATGTGTCAATTGTGTAACCACTTCCTAAACTTGAGACACCAAGTTGTCCTATATGTGGAGTACTATGCTTTGATTTCATTCCTACAGATGCCTAACTAAAGATGTCAACACATGATGTTTTTAAGTATAGTATCAAGCATATGAAGACAAATGAGTAGTCAAGATAGGAATCATCACCCCAAGTGATTCAAAGAAAAATAGCTCATTAGTTCTTAGTTGATATTAGCTTAATCAAATCCATGGCCAAAGTGATTAAGAGATTATGAAATGAGTTTCATAAGTCTTTATAAAGCTAATGATCAACTACAGGAATAAATATGGAGGTCAATAAAAGTAGGCACTGCACCAAACTCTTATCATTTTCGGGATATATGATGAGGCAATGAATTACATTAAAACACTATACATTGAAAGGTTGTCAAAGAATCTTTTAACTCTCCTAACAATTGAATGACCATGATGCATTACTAGGTGTTAATTATAGTCTATGGAATTGAATTAGTTAATTTAAAATTGAA